ATTTTCAGACAATTTTCATTTTTGTTTATGAATTTTATAACTCTCAGTCCAATAGAATAAAATTCATACCTCATTATTTATTGATTGTACAGAAAAATGTTTAAGACGAATTTTGTAGGAAATTTAATGCTCTACAAAAAAGGTATCTTATATTTTTTTCGTAAATCTCACCATTTGAATGATATTGAAGATTTAAGTTTGATGATTTTCAGACAATTTTCATTTTTGTTTATGAATTTTATAACTCTCAGTCCAATAAAATAAAATTCATACCTCATTATTTATTGATTGTACAACAAAATGTTCTAGACAAATTTTGTAGGAAATTTAATGCTCTACAAAAAAGGTATCTTATATTTTTTCCATAAACCTCACCATTTGAATGATATTGAAGATTTAAGTTTGATTATTTTCAGACAAATTTCATTTTTTTTTTTATGAATTTTATAACTCGACAATAAATGACTATTATAAAATGTGCAATAGAAATTTTTGTAGGAAATTAAGTGCTCTATAAAAATGGTGTCTTATGTTTTGGCGATTAAATTAAGCGTTCAAAAGATATTCATCATCAAACTTTCATGTGTACTGATTTCTACCTCTGAATATCATAAAATATGCATAAAATTACATTTGATAAAAAAATTTTGATTCAATCATTTGAATGATTTACTTTGTTTACATATGTTTGTAAATTTTTCTTGTTTTGTTTATAGGGAAGCAAGGGAAAGATGGACCGGAAGAAAAGAAGGATGCCGATGGAGAGTTATGGGGCAACGTGGAAGCGCAGGCCGCCTTCCTCGGGCCTAATTTATGGGACAAAACTTTGCCCTACGATGCCGACCTGAAGGTATTGAACCATGTATGTACAAAGACACGCGATACGGTAAGCCCGCACCTTATGTGAATCCACTATTTAAAAGAAAAAATCATTGATTCTATTTAGAATCTAAAATCATCAAGTGATAAGGAAATTATTTTATTTTATATGTGTCTATATATATATATGTATATATGTATATATGTTATAACGTGAAAGATCGAAATTTAATTATAAAAAAATAAATTGGAAATTTTAATTTATACTATAATAAATAATTGTTACAAATCTTTATTTATATTATAATATAATAAATTAATACTGGAAATTTTAATTTATGCTATAATAAAATATTATTAAAAATTTCAATTTAAATTATAATAAATTATACTATAATAAAAATTTCATTTATACTATAGTAAATTATTATGGAAAATTTTAAATTTATGGTATAATAATTATTAAAAATTTTCATTTAATTTAAACTAGAATAAATTAAATTTATACCATATTAAATAAATATTGCAAAATTGTAATTTATACTATAGTAAATTAATATCTAAAATTTTAAATTTATGGTATAATAATTATTAACAATTTTAATTTAATTTATACTATAATAAAATTAATTTATACCATACTAAATAAATATTGCAAAATTGTAATTTATATTATAGTAAATTAATATTGGAATTTTTAATTTTAATATTATAATAAATTAATATTGGAAATTTTAATTTTATTTATACTATAATAAATTAATTATAATTATATAATTTTTATATTAATAATAAATTTAATTAACATTATAAATTAACATTGAAAATTTTAATTTTTACTATAATAATATTTAATATATACTGTAATATCAATATTTGATCTTTTACAAACGTATTTGATATGTGTGTGTGTTGACATTTTAACTATGTGAATCTTGACATTATCTAATTTCTGTCTTTCACGATAATTAATATATATATATATATATATGGATTTGGGTCAAGAAATTTTTTAGATAATGTTACAAATTATTTAATTTTTTTGTTCTCAATATTTTTTCAAATTTATTTTATTTAAAGATACTTTTTAATTCAATACTGTTAGTATTAGAATAAATAATATCGAATAAAATTAATCAATTGTTTAAGTTATCTAAAAAAATTGTTGACTCACCTTGTACATGTATTATATATTTATAAATCTATACATTTATACACTAATTTCATTTGTTAATTACATTGCTTGAACAATAAGTAATATCATCATATATATATATATATATTGATTAAATATATTTTTTTTAATATATCATAATAATTATATATAATAATATAAACTATTAAAGTATTTAATAAAAAATTAAATATCTACATGTATAATAATAATATTAAAAAATATTACTTATTGATCAATCTAATAATTCATTAAAAAAAATAATTCCAAATATCGTACACATTATTACAAAATCTCATATATGTATTATAATTATCTTAATCGAATGATTAAAAAAAATTGTTATAAAATTTGTGATAAAATTACAGAAAAGAAAAATTTACATAATAATAATAATAATAACATAGTTAATACATAGTAAATCCTACAAGAGGTAAAAACATAGTTACCTGTACATATTAATTTTATTTCAAAGCAGAGACACACATAACAACCTCATTTATTATGACCATATATATACTTTATGGTCTTTTCTTTTTAGTGTGTGTGTGTATGTGTGTGTGTGTGTGTTTTTTTTTATTAATCTTATTTTAATCTCTTTTATTTTAATCTCCTTTAATTTTATTATATTTCAAGGCAGCACACACACGACAATCTCATTTACTAATGACTATACTTTTTTTGGTGTTTTATTCTTCATTAATTTTATTTTAATTATTTTTATTTAATTTATAATTTGATTTATATTTAATTTAATTTAATTTTATTTCAAGAAAGTACACACGAAAATCTTGTTTATTATTCTTATACATTTTTGTTAATTTTATTTTAATTTTATTTTACTTCAAGGCGTATTTCTCATACGAGAATCTTGTTTATTACGATTATACTTTTGTGATGTTTACTTTTTAGTGTTATTTTTTTATTAATTTTATTAAAATTATTTTAATTGTAATTTTGTTTAATTTAATTTGATTTCAAGGCAGGCCAGCAACATACACACAAACACACACACACACACGACAGTCTCGTTATTGGTGTTTTCTTTTTGGTGTGTGCTTTTTTTTCCTTTTTTTTTTTTTTTTTAATTTGATTTTATTCTTATTATTCTCGTAATAATTTACCTTCCTGTATCGAGAAACCGTGAAAGCAAAAACGTCACCGTAGTCGTTGTATTTTATATACTTGCAACTAAAACTTTCTCCGTTATGCTTCGTCGAAATTGAGGAAGAAGTTTTTGGTATACCTCGTTTTATTTTCTTTTCTTTTATTATTATTATTATTATTATTATTAACGTTAATTTATTCTTTCTTATTCTCACACTTTCTTTCACTATTTTTCTAAATATTATTATTTTTTCTTTGAATATACATTCTTTTTTTTCTATTTTCTTTTCAAATACTTTTAATCCATGCAATTAATTTGAAATTACAATAACGTCTTTTATTTTTTATTTTTTTATTTTTATTAATGTTAACTTATATTCTCTCTCTCTCACTCTCTCTCTCCCTCTCTCTCTCTCTCTCTTTTTCTCTTTTTATTTCTCTAAAATTATTCCAATTTGTTTTGTGTATTTTTTTTTTTTTTTCGTATTATCATAAATAATTTCATTTTTTCTTGTTCTTCTTCTTATTTTTTTTTTTTAAACGTTTATCGTTATCTTTTAGGACCACGTGGATCATTAAAAACAAAACAAAACAAAAGAAAAAAGAACAGAAAATCTATACGTTAAAAAAAGTAAATAATATGAAGGATGTTTCTTATGTCAATTCGCGTGCAACATAAATCGAACGTAACTATTGAAATCATGATTCTTTTTACCCCATTGACACTTCTTGCTCCGACAAATGAACCTTGAACTTTTTCTCAACAACCATAAATTATACTTCTATATTATATACTATACTGTATATATATATATATATATATTATACATAGACAGATTAATCTATATGTATATAAACAATTGAGATAAAAGAAATAAAAAGAGACAAAAGATAGATCACATTTAACTATTCAAATAATTCCATGTGGAAATTTTCGATCTATGATTAATTCTATTCTATTTGTAATGTAATTTCTATGAATTTATTATTATTTTATAAATAACATTAATTAACACGTTGACGCCGACGCCGATTTTCAGTGTCTGCGCTGTGGGGCGGCACTCGAATTTAAGATACGTTTCATCTGGCGGCGCGTGATTTTTTTCTTGTTCAAACCTGGACCAAGGTGGACCACCGGTGGTACGCACCGCCCGATGGGACAATCTAGTGCGGGTCACCGGTGGTACGCGCCGCCCGATGGGACAGTCTATTGCGGGCCACCGGTGGTACGCGCCGCCCGCTGGGATAGTCTATTGCGGGCCACTGGTGGTACGCACCGCCCGATGGGACAGTCTAGTGCGGGCCACCGGTGGTACGCACCGGCGTAAACGTGTTAATATAAAAGAAAATTTCATCGATTATACATTTTATACATTTTATTCATTTTATTTTTCATACAACATCCAATTAATTGTTCTAATTCATTTGCAATAATATATTAAATTAACCACCTTGACCTATTACCACGAGTCAGAGTCGTGGTTAAAAAATTTGTGTAATAAGCGAGCACCACGAGTCTAACTCGTAGTAAAGAATTTGTGCTATGAGCGAACATGCGAATATAATAACAAGCGAATAATGAGCGAATGCATTGAAAATATAATAAAATAATATAATTCAAAAAATAATAAAAAAAAAAAAAAAAATTGAAAAATTTGTATTGAAAAAAAAAGAAAGAAAGAAAATAAAAAAAAAAGAAAATAAAAAATTGTTCATTAATTTGTTCGATAGTACGTGGACCTGGACGAGTTTCTCTCCGAAAATGGCATCCCTGTTGATGGTGTAGCCGGTGGTGGGCAAGGTACTATGCAAGGTGTACAATTGCACAAGATCAACAATACTGAAGCTGCGAGTCATCAGGGACCAGCAAGTCTTCATTTAGAACCGGTCACCAAAAGAGAAAGGTCACCCTCGCCGAGTGAGGGTTGTTGTTCACCTGACACCTTAAACCCACCTTCACCAGCGGACTCCAGTAAGTTCTCATTATTATTATTATTATTATTATTAATATTATTATTCATTATTTTGTTTTCTTTGATATTTTTTATTACCCCTCTTTATGACGTTAAGGGTGAATTCAATTTTCTCAGGCATGAATTTTTGTTTCCTTCAATTATTATTGTATTTTACCTGTTTATTCAATTTTTATTAATAATAAATTTATTTTATTATTAATAAATTTTAAATATCACATAAATAACAATTATTTATTTAATTATAATTGTCGTTATATTATTATTATTATTATTATTATTATTATATTTTGTTCAATTATTATTTAACCTTTTTATTCAATTTTTATTATTTAATTACTAAACTTCTTCATATTTGTTTACACAAACATTTGTTTCTATTTTTTTTTTATTTTTGTATATAAGATTGATCAGAAGTTTTTTTTGTTTTTACAGACTAGAAATTTGTACATTAAACTTACTAGATATATATATATATATAGAAAATCACTAGTCTATGAATTTGTTTCATGTCTGATACGAAATAAACTAAAACTTTAAAAGGTTGTCTGATAAATCCATGAAACTTTTTCGAAACATTTGTAGATGCTTAATTTAAGTTGCAATTTGATAAATTTCAATAATTGATTTAATTATCTTGAAAGAAAATTAATCTACTACTTGTAAGAAATCATCTAGAGAAACAGTAAATAAGATAACGTTATTTGTAAGAATTTTTCAAAATTATTGAAAAAACTTTCTTTTTTTTTATTTTTCTATTTCCTTATAAATACTATAATTATATTACAGAAGAATAATGTAATACAATTTATTTATAATTCGCAATTGTAAGGAATAATATTTTGAGATGAATTTATCGATGATAATAATAATAATAAACATGACGATCAAGCTTACGATGAAAAAATAATTAATTAACAATTGTTTTTAATCTTAATAACATTTTTTTTTTTACAATTAAATATATATACATGTATCAGTTAATAAGAAAAATATTAGAATTATCATTTATTGTATAAAATAATGAACGTAGAAAACGTTTGACGATATTTTTCGTTAAAAATTAAATCAAAAAAAAAAGAAAGGAAAAGAAAAAATCCCCCTTTTTTCTGTAAATAAAATTAAATAAAAAAAAAAAAAAAGAAAAAAAAACCGTTTAATAATAATTACAGAAATTAATTTCATAGACTAACGTCCGTAATTTGTTTCCGATTATTTTTGAATTTTTTCGCGCAACAGATTCGGAGGACTCGTCACGAATACAATATGGCTTCTCTCTTGTAGCGCTCTCAATGGCGTCATCGGGACGAGATTTCGATCCACGAACAAGGGCCTTTTCCGACGAGGAACTTAAACCACAACCGATGATCAAAAAGTCACGGAAACAGGTAAAATCAATTTAAATATTATACAACACAGTTACTTACACACACACACACAATTTTCACGCCATAAAACACACAAACAAACAATCAAACAATCAAACATAAAATAATAACATAATATAAAATATAATAAATCTTTTAAAAATTAATAATAAAATTAAAAAAAAAAAATGAAATAAATAAAAATTAACAACCCTTTATTATTAATTACCATAAGAAAAATAAAACAAATATCAAGAAGAAAGAAACAAAAAATATAAAATAAATAAAATAATTGTTATTAAATATATAACATTTTTTATATAAATTATTAGATAATTATTATATAAAATTAATAAATAATTTAATAATTTACAATCAGTCGGTAATAAAGTAAATTTTTTTTTACAATAATTGTAGCTATGCGAATATATTTTTAATTATTATTTAATTACAAAAAAAAAAAAGGAAATCTAACAAAATTCTCAAATATACACTTTTGAGGTTAACTTTAAAAATATTAACCGATAAACTTTAAATAACAAATAAACCTAACAATAAATCATTTAAATGACACACACATACACGTTATACCAATTAGACGGAAGGTTTTAATAATGGGTTTGTCATTGATATGAAAAAAGTAAAATAATAACAAAAAATAGAAAGAGGTTATGACCCTAAACTTACAAAAGAGACAAACACCATCATTACGACCACGAACACCAACATTAACATTAATACACTAACACTACCATTACAATTACCATTACAATTATATCCTATGAAACGATCGACACAATGTCCTGCATTATGTGTTCTTATAGTTCGTTCCGGATGACTTGAAGGATGACAAATACTGGGCGCGTCGTAGGAAGAACAACATGGCGGCGAAACGATCACGAGACGCACGACGCATGAAGGAAAACCAGATAGCTCTCAGGGCCGGCTTCCTTGAGAAAGAAGTGAGTCCTATCTCTCTCTTTCTATCTAATTTTTTGTTTTTTATTTATCATTCCATTTTTAAATTTATCTTTTTTTTTTTCTTCCTAATAATATGATCGATAATATTCCAACCATGTTTTTTCATTAAAACTAAATACAATTTATTATTTGTTCATTTCAACATTGAAACTTGCTAACAATAATTAAAAATATTACCAAAATTAATGGAATGTATTTTTATAAAAAAAAAAAAAATTAAATTTCATAGAACTAACTGTCATCTTTTTTATTTTTAATCTTTTATAAGATCTAATAGATAAATGTTATTCATCATTCTAATAAATAATTATACATAATTTACACATCACGCATAAATGGAAATCCTTCGAATGAATAATTAACAAAATAATTTTTACAGTAACAACAGAAAAACCATATGACAACTGGCTGACATTGTGTAATATATATTTTCAAAAAAAAAAAAAAAAAAAAAAAAATGAACAACTATGCGTGCTTTTTGATTAAAGTTGGATCAAAATAAATGTTAATATTTTTTCTATTCATTTTTTCTAATTGTTTAATTATTTTTTTTTTTTTATTTTTATTTACTAATTTATTGATTTATTTTTCTAATTGTATTACTAATTGTATTATTAATTTATTCAAATTGTACTGTAAACAATAAAATTTTATTATTGTTTCTTTAACGAGTTTTAATCATTTTTTTTTTTTTATTAACACATTTTGTTATACTTTGCAATTATAGTTTTTGTTTTTTTTTTTTTTTGAACAGGTCACCCATCCAATTTACTAACCGTGGATAGGTTGCTTGACTTAAATAATTTTAAAAAGAAACATATTTGTTGTTTTTTTTTTTTTTTTAATGTGGCTAGGTCGTTGATTTTTTATTAATAAAAATTTATGAAAAATTCAAGAAACGACTAAACTAATACACACACACACATATATATACAGGTAACCCTTCCATAAGGTAGATAAATAGATTCCTCGAAAAAGTGTTATATGAGTCCCATAATTTATTATTCCTTCATTACTATTTGCTATTATTTTTATATTATTCTATTATTATTATTTTGCTATTATATATTTGCTATATTATTATTATTTATTATTTTAAAATAATTTAGTTTAATCAATATGTTAATACAAGAATTATATTACCCAGTGTTATAAAAGTACAGTCTTATACAAATTTATCTAGCACAAATTTTCTTATTGTGTTTATTAAGATTAGGGTTTCATCAATTTATGAATAATGCTATAGCAAAACTGGGTTATAAAAAATGCAATGTTGAAAGGGAGGGTTTACCACAATTTATGAATCATGCTATAGTAAAAACATGTTACATTATGTCGTGTTGTATTGGATTGGCAACTAAGTCATTGCTGATTTTTAAAGGCCACCTATCGACAAAATCCGCAATCATTTACTTGCTAACCCAATAGAAAAGTTTTTTTAATTTATGAATCATGGTTTAGCAAAATTATAAAAATATATATAAATTATAAAAATTGCCACTTTATATACAAAGATTCTACTACCTGTATATGAAATACACACACACTCACAGAGATGTATTAAATAAAAACAAATATAATGAGATCATTTATAATTATTTATTTTATTATATTATATTATTATAATTTTCTTCTTCTAGAACATGGGTCTACGGCAAGAATTGGATCGGTTAAAGAACGAAAATATGTTGCTGCGTGACAAGCTGAGCAAATATACGGACGTCTAACAGCAGCCATTTAGTAGCAGCAGCAGCAGTTAAAACAAAAGAAAATAATAAAAAAAAAAAAGAAATTTATAAGGGCAAAAGCAAAAGCAAAAAGAGCATCAAGATCAGTCAAACAAGCCAGCCAGTCAGCCAATCAGCAAGCCTGCCAATCAGCAAGCCAGCCAATCAGCAAGCCAGCCAATCAGCAAGCCTGCCAATCAGCAAGCAAGCCAGCTAGCTAGCAACAGAAGCAGAAGCAGCAAAAGTTAAGCAGAAACAACAAAAAGTGCAGCAGAAACAGCAACAGAAACAAAAGTTCAGCAGCAGCAGCAGCAACAAGAGCAACATCAGCGACAGCAACAAGCAGCGGCAGCAACTAAAAACAAAAAGTTCACCGGCGGCACTACCAACAAAAACAACAAACGACGATTCTAGGAGGATTACAAACAACAGACCACGAAACAAAATTGAAAGAAAAAATTTTGTGTGTCGTTTATACCCTATATTCCTCCTTCCTCCAATTTTCACACTTACAATTTCGTCGTCTCATTTAAAGAAAGAAATGAAAAGAAGAGATTATATATTGAAAAAAAAATTAAAACAAAAATAAAAAACAAAAGAAGGATAGAAGGATGATAGAAAGAAAGAAATAAAGAAAGAAAGGAAAAGGAGTGTGCCGATGAAGATCAGAATTAAGATAACAATACAAAAAAAACTTCAGGAAAAGAAAAATAAATTTATATACCTTGTCCCCTTTTTACGATTATCAACAAAATATTCGCTAAATATTCAAATCAACCCTTTTTTTCTGTTTGATCCCCCTCACCCATCGATTTTATCATCTTATTTTTAATATATTTACTTCCTCGTGCATCTCCCTAACTTGTACATAATTATATGAATAGTTAGATTACTTATATACATATATATGTATATACATATATATGTACATACATATATATATACATATGAATGAAATATGAAAAACAAACAAAATAATGATATCCATAAATCATATATTATATTATAGTATGAACAATATTGAAATATTGAACGTAGAAAGACAAGCCTTTGATTATTATTTCCCCTTCCCCTGTCTCCATCCTCTCCCCACCACAGTCTCTGCTATCTCCCCTCCACACTTTCATTACCAATACCAACTCTTGTTTTTAACCTCACTCCCACTCTACCTTCTCCCCACTCCCACTCTACCTTCTCCCCACTCCCACTCTACCTTATCCCCACTTCCACTCTACCTTCTCCCCACTCTTTTTCTTTTATTCTACTTACAATTAGCCGCAAACGAATAAATAACGTTTATAAGTAGCAACCCCCTCCCTCAATCCTTTTTTCATATATGAATATGAGAATGATTTAAAAAATAGAATAAAAAAATAGAAAAATATATTAGTTAATATATTACAGAGTCTTCTTATCTTTCTTTTTCGATGATAATGGAAAAAAAAAAAAAAACAACATGTTTTTGAAGAAGAAACATGGAATAAAAATTGTTTTTCTTAATCACGACGAACATTTTGTTCATGTTCGTGCTTTTGAAATGAATTTAATTAATTAATAACAATTTAATTATAACATGTTTTTCTTCTTCTTGTTAATCATCATCGTCATAGTTTATTGTCATTCTCTTCTTCTTCTTCTTCCTTTACCACCCCCCCCCCAAACCACCAATTTCTTCTTCTTTATATTATTATTATATTCTTCCTAATTCTGTGTTACCATTACGTTAGTTATCTATTATTATTATTATTATTATTATTATTATTATTATTATTAATATTATTATTATTATTATTACATTGTAGTTTTTATTGAACTATAAACGAAAGAAAACAAACAAAAAAAAAAAAAGAAATAGAGGAAATAATAAAAAAAAAAAAAAAGAAAAAAAAAGAGAAGCTTTTACTCGCCGTAACTCTCTTCTCCTTTTTTCCACCGACAAATAAACAAATAAACAATCAAACAAACAAACAAACAAACAAACAAATCATAAGCGAGATTCATCTTGTCTAAATTGTTTTTGTTTCTTCTTTTTTTTTTTATATCTATATATATTGCACATACATGTGCATATACATTACACGCATACATACATGCATACATATTTATATATGTATATAAGAATGACATGATAAAAATTGTTTATAAATTGAATGATACGATACAAAATAATATTGAAATAATTTTCGAATCTTCTTACTTTTATGGAAGAAAATTTTGGTGTAATTTTTCGATATATATATAATTTTGCATATTTATGTATGTATGTGCAATAATACCGCAATGTAAGACACGAATGTGTATGTGTATAAAGATAAAAACAAAAAAAAAACCAAAAAAAAAAAAAGCAAACAATAACGGAGGTTGTTGTTTTACCACCACACATTTCTTACTTTATTAAAAAAGGAACACGAAAATAATAAAAAAAAAAAAAAAAAAATGATAAAAAAAAGATATAAATAAAAAAAGGAGAAATTAAAATGTACGAACGTTTAATTCGCTTTAATGATAATAATAAAAAAAAAAAAAAATGATATTACATGATAATAAAAAATGATAATAAGAAATTTAT